TGCCAGACTGACGGATGGCGGGCTTGGTGATACCCTGGATGTTATCACAAAAAGCCTTCCGTGAAGGTCTCCGTTCCCAGTTGGGCGTTTTCTTTAATATCTCTTGTAGCCATCATGAGCCGACAAAACTGCTGTGCACCGTCCCGGCATGGACTGAATCAGTCATCCAGTTCAACCCATCCCTCTTGCTATGCCTGCGACAGCTGATCTAACGTCTGTGGCGCCGGCAGGTACGCGTCGGCCGAGGTCGTCCCACAAATGCTCGATGGGAATGAGGTCGGGCGATTTGGAAGGCCATGGAAACACTGTTATGTTCTCATGCTGAAGATACTGAATAGTGGCATGTGCTGCGTGAGGCCTGGCATTAACTTGCTGGAAAAACTACCTCTGACAATGACATTCATTACCTGACCCTAACATGAAATACATGCTGTTATTAAGGCAAGACTCAAAATAAAAGTACGACTTTCCTATATTCATATTATCTTTACTGTGTCTGCTGGCATATCTGCTGTACACTGAAGCTAGCCTCGTAGAATCCGGAGGCATCAGTCGGATGGAGTAAATAGTTCTACTGCTCAGTGGTGCCGGACGGTCACAGAACAAATCCTCGTCACTGTAACGTATTATGATCAATAGGAGCTTTATTTGAAGGCGCATTACATATTTCTGGTAACCAGGTAATAACCAGAGTGAGTGAGTGAGTGAGTGAGTGAGTGAGTGAGTGAGTGAGTGAGGGAGGGTAATAACCTGGGAGAACTCGCCAAAGTGACTCTGTATAGGAAACAACTGTCAGGGTTCTCGACAATGTCACAGGTGCTCTTTTCCTTTTCCACCGTGCGACGCTATGGACTTTCTGTACAATTCTCCTGAGACAAATGGACTTTTTGTAGAGTATTATTGGGACAGAGGGACGCTTTGTAGAATTTTCCTGGGACAAATAGTCTTGCCTTAGAATATTTCTGCGACAGAGAAACATTTGTATATATACTGATGTACAAAAGAAAGTACAAACCTACTGTTTTGAGACTATTAAAAAACGTAAATATTTTGCTAGCAATGTTCCAATTGGGTACGATATCTATGGTGTTATTGCAACACGTACACACTATTTATGACTTATGAGTCACAATTAAAACACTTTTCTAAATAATACGCTGTTTTAGGAAAACATTTTACCAAAGCATCATGTGTGTACTTTCTTTTGTACGTCAGTTTAGAATGTTCTTTGGACAGGGGGACCTTTTTGTGGAATTGCTCCGGATAAGTGTCTACAAAATAAGCTACGTTATATAGACCCCATACATAAGATGACGTCAGTAGAAGTTTATTACGCACGTGACCCACTGGTATACTTCAGACCCCGACAACCTGACACAAAGTCTCCTCAGTGTGCGCCCATTGGCCTATAAACGATTACTTTCAGTGATTGAGCCCCTCAGCATTCAGTTGAACAAAGATACAATATGATATTACCCAGGGCCAGACTAGTGAATATAGTAATGTACGTTAATGTGTATGATCGTGGTTCAACCTCTCGTTCATATGAATATGTTGCCCGTGGTTACTTGTCAACAGAGGCTAGAATGTTCATCGTCGTCTCTTGAGAGGACATCTTGGTAGCTGGGTTATTACAATCTGCCAATGTGTGGTTATGTTACTTGTTCTAAGTACTTACGTCTCGTTTCAGTCGACTCTAATCGATTAAAGTTCCCGTGTATGTCGGATAACTGGGATTATCCTGAATTGCTGCCGGGTGGACTGTCAAATGATTCGTCTTTCGGTTAAAACAACATTGTGGAAATGTGTATGTAACACAACAGCAGTACATTACCTTCATCAATGATAAGCCCCTGTCTGTGTTCGGTTGAATAGCTCACGTGATCAAATACTGGTTGAATACAATAGCGACAAAGCTATAATTGTTGTAAATAAAAGCGAAAAAAACACTTATAACCATAAACAATGTACAGTTTGACTAAATGTCATGAACATCTGCTTATGAACATCTTTCAAATACTTGTTTAAGAAACAGTAAACGTATCCTGCTAAAATCGATGGCATATGTCAAAGCCAGGTTAATTGTTCACTTTGAAAATCGTTGGAACATAATGGAACAGATCAAAGTAAGTAAAGGCATCGGTAAGAACTTCTATAGCTGAAATGTCCCCCAACACTCTGACATTGTGACGTGGCTGACTTTGTGACATGCTCATCTCATTACACCCACCACGTGACGTATTGTGTGTCAGTGTGACCTCTTTACACCCACCACGTGACGTATTGTGTGTCAGTGTGACCTCTTTACACCCACCACGTGACGTATTGTGTGTCAGTGTGACCTCTTTACACCCACCACGTGACGTATTGTGTGTCAGTGTGACCTCTTTACACCCACCACGTGACGTATTGTGTGTCAGTGTGACCTCTTTACACCCACCACGTGGTTTATTGTGTGTGAGTGAGACCTCTTTACACCCACCACGTGGCTTATTGTGTGTCAGCGTGACCTCTTTACACCCACCACGTGGCTTATTGTGTGTCAGCGTGACCTCTTTACACCCACCACGTGGTTTATTGTGTGTGAGCGTGACCTCTTTACACCCACCACGTGGTTTATTGTGTGTGAGTGTGACCTCTTTACACCCACCACGTGGTTTATTACACCCACCACGTGGTGTGTTGTGTGTGAGCGTGACCTCTTTACACCCACCACGTGGCTTTATTGTGTGTTGTGTGCGTGACCTCTTTACACCCACCACGTGGTTTATTGTGTGTCTTTACACCCACCAGTGGCGTGACCTCTTTACACCCACCACGTGGTTTATTGTGTGTGAGCGTGACCTCTTTACACCCACCACGTGGTTTATTGTGTGTGAGCGTCTTTACACCCACCACGATTGTGTGTCAGCGTGACCTCTTTACACCCACCACGTGGTTTATTGTGTGTCAGCGTGACCTCTTTACACCCACCACGTGGCTTTATTGTGTGTCAGCGTGACCTCTTTACACCCACCACGTGGCTTATTGTGTGTCAGCGTGACCTCTTTACACCCACCACGTGGCTTATTGTGTGTCAGCGTGACCTCTTTACACCCACCACGTGGCTTATTGTGTGTCAGCGTGACCTCTTTACACCCACCACGTGGCTTATTGTGTCAGCGTGACCTCTTTACACCCACCACGTGGTTTATTGTGTGAGTGTGAACTCTTTACACCCACCACGTGGTTTATTGTGTGTCAGTATGATCTCTTTACACCCACCACGTGGTTTATTGTGCGTCAGTATGATCTTTACATCCACCACGTGGCTTATTTTGTATCAGTGAGACCTCCTTACACCCACCACGTGGTTTATTGTGTGTCAGTATAATCTCTTTACACACACCACGTGGCTTATTTTGTATCAGTGAGACCTCCTTACACCCGACACGTGGCATGTTGTGTCTCAGTGTGATCTCTTTACACCCACCACGTTAGTTATAGTGTTTAAGTTTGACCTCTTTACACACAACAGGTGACATTGTGTGTTAGCGTGACCTCTTTACACCCACCACATGACTTATTGTGTGTCAACTTGACTTCTTTACACCCACCACGTGACATATTGTGTGTCAGCGAGACGTCTTTACACCCACCACGTGGCGTATTGTGTGTCAGCGAGACCTCTTTACACCCACCACGTGGCGTATTGTGTGTCAGCGAGACCTCATTACACCCACCACGTGGCTTATTGTGTGTCAGCGTGACCTCATTACACCCACCACGTGGCTTATTGTGTGTCAGCGAGACCTCTTTACACCAATCACGTATCTTAATGTGTGTGAGCGAGACCTCTTTACACCCACCACACGTGGCTTATTGTGTGTCAGAGCGAGACCTCTTACACCCACCACGTGGCTTATTGTGTGTCAGCGTGTCAGCGAGACCTCATTACACCCATCACGTATCTTAATGTGTGTCAGTTTAATTTGACCTCTTTACACCCACCACGTAGCTTATTGTGTGTCAGGAGACCTCTTTTCACCCACCACGTGGCTTATTGTGTGTCAGCGTGACGTCATTAAAGCCACCACGTGACTAATTGTATATCAGCGTGACCTCTTTACACCCACCACATGACTTATTGTGTCAGTCAGCGTGATCTCTTTTACACCCACCACGTGACTTATTGTGTGTCAGCGAGACCTCATTACACCCACCACGTGGCTTATTGTGTGTCAGTGTGACCTTATTACACCCACCACGTGACGTATTGTGTGTCAGCGAGACCTCATTACACCCACCACGTGGCTTATTGTATATCAGCGTGACCTCTTTACACCCACCTCATGAGTTGTTGTGTGTCAGCGTGACCTGTTTACACCTACCATGTGACTGCCTGGATATTTGTTGTTTTAGCTGTCACCGTTCTTATCCGTCATAATCTCTTTGTGTCACGGGCGGTCTTGTTGCTGTAGTTCGTAATGATACACGCCCCCAAAACATGTGATCGTGGGTTGGAATCCCCGTTCTCTCACATTAAGTTTCTTGGTTTTACGGCACCATACGCGTGCTCGTGGGATTAAGTAAAGTAGTCAACTTTTCCTCAAGATGACATGACATAGTAGTCACTGACTCGTTCTTGTCGAGAGAAAACCTGGAGCGGGATCCGTGAAGATCCCCATTAGAAATTATTGGTCCTCAATGGTAGCTCCTGGTTGTCGTAAGATGCGACTAATGGGATCGTGTGGTCAGGCTCGTCGACTTGGTTGATGTATGTCATTGTATCCCATTTGCGTAGATCGATGCTCATGATGTTGATCAATGAATTGTCGTGATTCGATCGTTGACAGACGGCGTGGAATAGCTGGAATATTGATGAATGCGGCGTTAAAATACAAACAATCAAAGCAAACCTGGAGCGTTTTCGCCTAAATTGAAAATCATAGCGAATAAACGCAACCACACGTACATGCACGTGAAAAAATGGCAGCTGGTATAAATGTGAAAAACACGTGCACATTCATTGTTACTGAAGATTTTCGAGTGAGCTATGGGAGCGCGATGTGGAGACCTTCGTTTGTCATGCTTTGTCTTGGTGGACATTGCGTTGATAGTCCAGGTCCTCGCGGTGAGTGGAACATGCGATACAAGTGGTAAACTATATCATTCTAACATGACTGGGGCACACATTTGGGACTGGTATCAGAGCACCCACATCACTCACTTCCTGATTGTCTGTCGTGGTTTCCGATGTCGTAAGTCATAATCACTTACTGTATGACGTCGCAGGTCTGGAAATAGTGCTTGAAAAATTCACATTATAAAGAAGCTTTACACTTCAGACTGTAAGAAAATATCTTACCCAGATCTGGCGCAAGATTACTTTTTATTTTAATCTGGTTTTGCTGCAGTTGAACAAAATCAAGTCTTCAAGCAAAATCCCAGTTGAACCCCCACCCCTTCCCGCCCCACACAACACAACACGCAATATACTAGAAATCAGCTGTAAGTTGACATCCAGGTGTCGTGTATAGACAAGTCACATGCGGTGGGTGGTGGTGGTTGTCATGGTTTACGAAGTTTTAAGACCATAATGTAACACAGACACAGCAGCTTCCAGAATATATATATATATATATATATACGCCTATATTTTCTGTTTTGTCTTTAGTTTCTTTTTATAATGACGGAAAACATGAATCCAGCAATACTTGCAGTGCAGACATGTAGGGGAAAGCTGACGATTTTAAAATTTCCTGAGTATATTTCACCCGCCAATTATTCCTCAGAATGGCGACCTTTGTGTTGCGAATGCGGCTATTATTGGCCTCTCCAGAATAGTTTACTGACGTCAGTGAAAGGGTGTAACATCTAGAAATACTCTTCTGCTGAAAAATCTGAAAGTACAGTGGAAATTTCTCTATGTACGTGTATATGTATATATATATATGTATATATGTGTATGTGTGTGTGTAAATATAAATGTATATATAGTGTATAAATGTTAGTAACTTTCAGTTTCAAGGTCACTACAGTGTAGATGCGTATAGTATTACATAGTGTAGGTACAATAACAAAAAAATAATAGTGCAGATAAGTACAATTAGAACGGAGGGTACCCTTAATGTATTATTCAGCATATGGCAAGGTTAGACCGTGGATATGCTGCAAACAATAGTGCAAAACGGGGAATACATGTGGTTGGTGCGGTTTGTGGCGGGGAGAAGACATGTGGTTGGTGCGGTTTGTGGCCCGAGGAGACATGTGGTTTGGTGCAGGTTTGGTGGCAGTTTGTGGCAGGAAGTAGACATGGGGTTGGTGCGGTTTGTGGCAGGGAAGTAGACATGGTGGGTTGTGGCGGGAAGTATTACGTGGTTGTTGCAGTTTGTGGCGGGAAGCAGACATGCAGTTTGTGGCAGGAAGTGACATGTATGGTGGTTGGTGCAGTTTGTGGCAGGGAAGTAGACATGGGGTTGTTGCAGTTTGTGGCGGGAAGTAGACATGGGGTTGTTGCAGTTTGTGGCAGGAAATAGAAGACATGGGGTTGTTGCAGTTTGTGGCAGGAAGTAGACATATGGTTGTTGCAGTTTGTGGCAGGGAAAGTAGACATGTGGTTGGAGTTGGTGCAGTTTGTGGCAGGAAGTAGAGCATGGGGTTGTTGCAGTTTGTGGCAGGGAAGTAGACATGGGGTTGTTGCAGTTTGTGGCAGGAAATGAGACATATGGTTGTTGCAGTTTTGTGGAAGGAATGAATGGGTTTGTAGTAGGGTTGGTGGCAGTTTGTAGACATGGACATGGGGTGGTGCAGTTTGTGGCAGGAAGTATGGACATGTGGTTGTTGCGGTTTGTGGCGGGAAATAGACATGGGGTTGTGCAGTTTGTGGCAGGGGGGAATGACATAGGGTTGTTGCAGTTTGTGGCAGGAAATAGACATGGGGTGGTTGCAGTTTGTGGCAGGGAAGTAGACATGTGGTTGTTGCAGTTTGTGGCAGGGAAGAGACATGGGGTGGTGCGGTTTGTGGCAGGGGAGGAGACATGTGGTGGGTGCGGTTTGTGGCGGGGAGTGAGACATGGGTTGTTGCAGTTTGTGGCAGGGGAGGTAGACATGGGTTGTACGGTGCAGTTTGTGGCGGGAGGGAACATGTGGTTGGTCAGGTTTGTGGTGGGGAGAAGACATGTGGTTGGTGCGGTTTGTGGCAGGGGAAATGAGACATGTGGTTGGAGTGCGGTTTGTGGTGGGGAAGAAGACATGGAGGTGTGAAGTGCGGTTTGTGGCGGGGAGAGACATAGGGTTAGTGCAGTTTGTGGTGGGGAGAAGACATGTGGTTGAATTGCAGTTTGTGGCAGGGAGAAGATATGGGGTTGGTGCGGTTTGTGGCAGGGAGAAGACATGTGGTGGTGCAGAGGAGATATGAACACATAGTGCAGTTTGTGGCAGGGAGTAGACATATGGGTGGGGAGAAGATATGGGGTTGGTGCGGTTTGTGGCGGGAGAAGACATGTTGGTGGGGAGGAGACGTGGAGAAGGGAGAATATATGGTTGAGTGCGGTTTGTGGCGGGAGAGAAGACATGTGGGTGGGGAGGAGACGTGTGGGTGGTGCCGTTTGTGACAGGGAGAAGACATGGTGGTGCAGCTTGTGGCGGGGAGATTACATGGGGGCGGTGCGGTTTGGGGGCGGTGCTGTTTGTGGCGTGGAGAATACATGGGATGGTGCAGTTTGTGGCGGGAAGAATACATGGGATGGTGCAGTTTGTGGCGTGGAGAATACATGGGATGGTGCAGTTTGTGGCGGGAAGAATACATGGGATGGTGCAGTTTGTGGCGGGGAGAATACATGGGATGGTGCAGTTTGTGGCGGGGGAGAATACATGGGATGGTGCAGTTTGTGGCAGGAAGAATACATGGGATGGTGCAGTTTGTGGCGGGTAAGAATACATGGGATGGGTGCAGTTTGTGGCAGGGAAGAATTAGATGCATGTGGTGGGGAGGAGACATGTGGGTGGTGCCGTTTGTGACAGGAGAAAGACATGGTGGTGCAGTTTGTGGCGGGAGATTACATGGGGGGATGGTGCGCAGGGGAGGTGCTGTTTGTGGCGTGGAGAATACATGGGATGGTGCAGTTTGTGGCGGGGAAGAATACATGGGATGGTGCAGTTTGTGGCGTGGAGAATACATGGGATGGTGCAGTTTGTGGCGGGAAGAATACATGGGATGGTGCAGTTTGTGGCGGGAAGAATACATGGGATGATGCAGTTTGTGGCGGGGAGAATACATGGGATGGTGCAGTTTGTGGCGGGAAGAATACATGGGATGGTGCAGTTTGTGGCAGGGAAGAATACATGGGATGGTGCAGTTTGTGGCGGGTAAGAATACATGGGATGGTGCAGTTTGTGGCAGGAAGAATACATGGGATGGTGCAGTTTGTGGCAGGGGAGAATACATGGGATGGTGCAGTTTGTGGCAGGAAGAATACATGGGATGGTGCAGTTTGTGGCGGGAGAATATATGGGATGGTGCAGTTTGTGGCGGGAAGAATACATGGGATGCAGTTTGTGGCGTGGAGAATACATGGGATGGTGCAGTTTGTGGCGGGAAGAATATATGGGATGATGCAGTTTGTGGTGGGAAGAATACATGGGATGATAAAGTTTGTGGCGGGAAGAATATATGGGATGATGCAGTTTGCGGCGGGGAGAATACATGGGATGGTGCAGTTTGCGGCGGGAAGAATATATGGGATGGTGCAGTTTGTGGCGGGAAGAATACATGGGATGGTGCAGTTTGTGGCGGGGAGAATACATGGGATGGTGCAGTTTGTGGCGGGGAGAATATATGGGATGATGCAGTTTGTGGCGGGGAGAAAACGTGGTGTGGGGTGGGGTGATGTGGGGAAGGCGTCCGGAAAGCTAATAGGGTGGGGTGGGTTTCGGTGGGGATTGCATTGGGCATGTGCAGCATGTCGCGAGGTGGGGCAAAGTAACTTAATTGTTTGCTGGATGTGCCATGTTCAAAGCGGGGAACTAGTTGCGTGGTGAAACGGATCGATATTGTTGATGGCTTGGAGGGGTAACAGTCAGCTGAGTGGCGAGTCCTCTGAAGTTTAGTTTTAAGTACCCAGACGCCACCTCGCCGCTTTAGTCATTTAGTAAACTGTCAAATAATCTTGTTTGAAATATTTAGCCGATTGTCTCCTGCTTAAAATGGACCAGGTTTTGTCAGATGTAACAGTTTCTTTTAAGGATGCAAGAACACCCGAAAGACCTTGTCATGTTTCTAATAGGGAAACCCGTGAAGGTCCGGGTTAGAATGAACCTTCAGTAACCCATGCTTGTCGTAAGAGGCGACTAACGGGATCGGGTGGCCAGGTTCGCTGGCTTGGTTGACACATGTCTTCGGTTCCCAATTGCGCAGATCGGTGCTCCTGCTGTTGATCACTGGATTGTCTGGTCAGGCTCGATTATTTACAGACAGCCGCCATATAGCTGGAATATTGCTGAGTGCGGCGTAAAACTAAACTCACTCACTCTGATAGGGAATTTTCTTCTGTGAAGGGGCCACAATCACTTTATACATGTCACAGCTGCATTACGTACAGTACACAGGTACAGTCACGCCAATGTTCTAGATGATGAAAATACAAACTTTCTAAGGCCAGTAATAACAAGGATACTGTAATCCGTAAACAGCTGGACTAACTTTGTTTGAAAGGAAACGACTCAAATGACTGTAAAACGGGCATTCCAAACCAAATTGATACTTGGGTTTCCAAGTGAGGGACAACACAATAATACCATTACATAGGTTGGAAGACCGGGGTCTACTCGCATCATTCCTAGATGTAACATTTACGTGTTTTTAGATTTGAAGGAAACATTAATTCTAACGCTTAAAACCCCCGAATTTGCATTATCATTCAAAACACCCCTGTATACACCCTGACATAAAACAATTTCTTGCTGAAACTGTACATAACTATAAAGTTCTTGACATTTGATGTCCAGCATCTAACTCCTGCCTTTGCTGGGCTGTACCGATATGAGAAAAGTTAACTAGATTTGTATCAGATTTGGCACATTTCCGTCTCACGGATACATATGTAACTATATAAGCTAGGTAAGTAACATAAAGGATGCCAATATGGCAAATGCGCAAGTTCAGGTTACCTTCACAGAGAACGTTTACGGTCACAGAAGTTTACATGATGGAGGTTACAAGTACAAGAGGAACAAGGAAAAGAATGACGTCACATACTGGCGCTGTGTGGAGAAAACTTGTAAGGCTATCCTTCAGACTAGAGATGACGTCATATCCAGTTTCGGAAACTATCTTCACAACCATGCCTCACATGTCTTCCTGCTTCACGTCAACCAATTCAAGTCTACCCTCATTCACCGCTCCAAGACAGACAATCAACAACGTAGCTTCAACTTATCTCCAGACATCATTCAGATGGATTTTGAGATGGCCGCCTACAACGCCGTGTCTACAGTGTTTCCTACGCCACAACTACGTGGATGTTACGGTCACTTCTGTGTGTTTGGAGATGTATCCAGAAACCTGGCCTAGTGACTGATTACATAGTGTGATGACTTGCGACGACTTGTACGATGTGCCGTTTCACTAGCTTTGGTGCCTGTTGATCAAGATGAGGATGTTTGGGTCAAGGCTATTGCCAATGCTCCTCAAGGCGCTGCTATCACCAGATTTATGGACTACATCACAGAGACATGGGTGGATTGACCAACTCAGTGGAAGGAGGTGTGGACCCAGTTCCAGGAAGATGGCCGTCGCACGAACAATAATCTAGTAGTTTGGCATCATCGTTTGAATAATATCAGTGGGAAATGTCATCCCAACATCTATGAGCATGTTCGTGTGTTCAGGAGAGCAGTCCTTTGTGGAGGCCCGCAGTGCTCAAGTGTGTGGCCACAGACGTGCACCAGCAAGGAAGCGCTGCTACCGCAATCTTGACAGAAGGCTTCAGCGTCTCAAGGACCAGGTTCAGAGACAAGAGATTACCATAATGTACTATGCTGATCAGACTGGCTACCTTGCTCACTTGGGATGACTATGATTTGTACACTGTATATTGTAACAAAGTGGCCACAATAAAGAATGTACTGTATAATGTATTTTGTGTTCCTTAATGCCCGGAGCGTCGAACGCCATAGTGTTAACGCCTAATTAACTCCTTACGTAATACCCGAAACATCAAAATTATGATATTTCAATTTTCGACAGTCCGGGTGGACAGCGTTTGTAATGTCCGTGACTCGACATGTTATCACAATTACCCAGCTGCACTTCGGACAGGCTCACATTCGTCCCGATACCAGTTACCTCCCTTCGTGCCAATCGCTATGCCTGGCAAACAGTCTTCCCTAAAGTTTGATAGTTCATTATTGACTGGAATAAGACCGACGTCACCACTTTTAATCATTCGTGACCAACTCAATATTTTTCCGGGACAAGCCGAATAGCGACTTGTGCCCCTCTGGAAGGATTAATTTTCATATTGGCGCATGAACGATAACTCTTACTGTTTGATTCTAATGCTACTTAATATCCCCGAAGCACTCATATATTGTATTGCTGTTTGTTTTTATTTATTTTAAAGAATGGTATATCTACACCCATTCACGCCAACACTTGCCCTCTTATATGTGGTTGCACACATGCGCACACAAAACCTCGTGTCTTGTGTCTGTTATATTCAACAACTAAATTAAAGGTATTTTGGATAAATAGAGAATCTCACCCAAGTGTCTTCTGATATCAATTATATCAACACGAGTTGATAAAGTTACAAATATCTTAACTTTATATTTTAACTTTTATCAACGAGTGTTGATATATTTGATATCAGAAGACACGAGGGTGAGATTCTATCATCCAAAATCACTCTTCATTAGTTTTCAATGAAAAATGTACATCTCTGAACACAGTACTGCCATTAGGCTTGCAGTGAAGCGATGTCATAGCATTGTGACGTTATCAAGTCATAGCATTGTCAGGGCATTATACAAAATCTACTGTCAAAGCGATATCTCCTAGGAGATATCGTTTGATCTCACACAAGCAATATCTCCCGTGGAACAGTTTTGGATGATAAAATATTAACTTTCTCTTTTCAGATCAGTACTCCACTTCCGAGCGGGAACACTACCAGCAGTAATACAAGTATCTCTGTGGTAAGGCCAAGCATTCTTTTGATTATACGTGGCAAAACAACGTGTCTGATAGGGTTGATGGCGTGGTTAGGGAATGGAGGCTGGGGTAGGTGTAGGTATACCGTCTTGAGGGCATGTGGGGTGGGGAAGACGTCGTGAGGGCAAGTGGGTTGGGGTGGGTGTAGGTATAGCGTCGTGAGGGCATGTGGGGTGGGGTGGGGTGGGGTGGGGGTGAAAGACGTCGTGAGGGCATGTGGGGTGGGGTGGGGAAGACGTCGTAAGGGCATGTGGGTGGGGTGGGGTGGGGAAGACGTCGTAAGGGCATGTGGGGTGGGGTGGGATGGGTGTAGGATTAGGTATTGCGTTAGGGCAAGTGGGATGGGGTGGAGAAGACGTCGTGAGGGCATGAAGGCTTGGCCGGGTGTAGGTATGGCGTCTCCACGTGCCCTGACAAACGTTCAACAAAGGATTGCAGTTTATAACAGTGCCCCGTGATAGGTATGGCGCGAGGTAACGATCAGTCACATGATCTAGATCAGCATCAACAGGCAGATATGTCAAATCATCATTATAAATTATGTCTGTATACGACCCACCACCAGTACATGCATTAAAGTCCTTTGTACTGTAACTGGGGCGGTGGGGGTAGCCTATTGGTTGAAACGTTCGCTCGTCATGAGTACAATGTATGAAGCCCACTTCTGGTGTCCCCCGCCGTGATGTTGCTGGAATATTGCTAACAGCGGTGTAAAACCATACTCGCTCACTCACTGAACTGTAACTCGACAAGTTGGGTTCGTCGATTTAAAATTTGTTATATCCTCTTCCCAAATTTCTAAAAACAGGTACCACATGTGTCTACATAAAACAGGTACCACATGTGTCTACTAAAACAGGTACCACATGTGTCTACTAAAACAGGTACCACATGTGTCTACTAAAACAGGTACCACATGTGTCTACTAAAACAGGTACCACATGTGTCTACTAAAACAGGTACCACATGTGTCTACTAAAACAGGTACCACATGTGTCTACTAAAACAGGTACCACATGTGTCTACTAAAACAGGTACCACACATGTGTCTACTGTGTCTACTAAAACAGCTACCACATGTGTCTACTAAAACAAAACAGCTGCTAAAGGCAGCTACCACATGTGTCTACTAAAAGCTACCACATGTGTCTACAGGCTACACATGTGTCTACTAAAACAGCTACCACATGTGTCTACTAAAACAGCTACCACATGTGTCTACTAAAACAGCTACCACATGTGTCTACTAAAACAGCTACCACCTGTGTCTACTAAAACAGCTACCACATGTGTCTACTAAAACAGCTACCATACGTGTCTACCACAGCTACCACATGTGTCTACTAAAACACGTGGTACCACACATGTGTGTCTACTAAAACAGGTACCACATGTGGTGGTCTACGGTTTGTGGCGCTACCACATGTGTCTAGAAGACATGGGGTGGTGCGGTTTGTGGCGGGGAGAAGACATGGGGTGGTGCGGTGGTGGCGGGGAGAAAACGTGGGTGGGGGGTGGGGGGAGATGTGGGAAGGCGTCCGGAAAGCTAATAGGGTGGGGTGGGTTTCGGTGGGGATTGCATTGGGCATGTGCAGCATGTCGCGAGGTGGGGCAAAGTAACTTAATTGTTTTCTGGATGTGCCATGTTCAAAGCGGGGAACTAGTTGCGTGGTGAAACGGATCGATATTGTTGATGGCTTGGAGGGGTAACAGTCAGCTGAGTGGCGAGTCCTCTGAAGTTTAGTTTTAAGTACCCAGACGCCACCTCGCCGCTTTAGTCATTTAGTAAACTGTCAAATAATCTTGTTTGAAATATTTAGCCGATTGTCTCCTGCTTAAAATGGACCAGGTTTTGTCAGATGTAACAGTTTCTTTTAAGGATGCAAGAACACCCGAAAGATCTTGTCATGTTTCTAATAGGGAAACCCGTGAAGGTCCGGGTTAGAATGAACCTTCAGTAACCCATGCTTGTGGTAAGAGGCAACTAACGGGATCGGGTGGCCAGGTTCGCTGGCTTGGTTGACACATGTCTTCGGTTCCCAATTGCGCAGATCGGTGCTCCTGCTGTTGATCACTGGATTGTCTGGTCAGGCTCGATTATTTACAGACAGCCGCCATATAGCTGGAATATTGCTGAGTGCGGCGTAAAACTAAACTCACTCACTCTGATAGGGAATTTTCTTCTGTGAAGGGGCCACAGTCACTTTATACATGTCACAGCTGCATTACGTACAGTACACAGGTACAGTCACGCCAATGTTCTAGATGATGAAAATACAAACTTTCTAAGGCCAGTAATAACAAGGATACTGTAATCCGTAAACAGCTGGACCAACTTTGTTTGAAAGGAAACGACTCAAATGACTGTAAAACGGGCATTCCAAACCAAATTGATACTTGGGTTTCCAAGTGAGGGACAACACAATAATACCATTACATAGGTTGGAAGACCGGGGCCTACTCGCATCATTCCTAGATGTAACATTTACGTGTTTTTAGATTTGAAGGAAACATTAATTCTAACGCTTAAAACCCCCGAATTTGCATTATCATTCAAAACACCCCTGTATACACCCTGACATAAAACAATTTCTTGCTGAAACTGTACATAACTATAAAGTTCTTGACATTTGATGTCCAGCATCTAACTCCTGCCTTTGCTGGGCTGTACCGATATGAGAAATTCCTAACATAGATTTGTATCAATATTTGGCGCATTTCCGTCTCACGGATACATATGTAACTATATAAGCTAGGTAAACAGTAAAGATTATAAAGCTTATGCAATGGAATAATATGGCAAATGCGCAAGTTCAGGTTACCTTCACAGAGAACGTTTACGGTCACAGAAAGTTTACATGATGGAGGTTACAAGTACAAGAAGAACAAGGAAAAGAATGACGTCACATACTGGCGCTGTGTGGAGAAAACTTGTAAGGCTATCCTTCAGACTAGAGATGACGTCATATCCAGTTTCGGAAACTATCTTCACAACCATGCCTCGCGTGTCTTCCTGCTTCACGTCAAGAATATTCAAGTCTACCCTCATTCACCGCTCCAAGACTTGAAGGCTGGTCAACAACGTAGCTTCAACTTATCTCCAGACATCATTCAGATGGATTTTGAGATGGCCGCCTACAACGCCGTGTGTCGACAGTGTTTCCTACGCCACAACTACGTGGATGTTACGGTCACTTCTGTGTGTTTGGAGATGTATCCAGAAACCTGGCCTAGTGACTGATTACATAGGTTTGTGATGACTTGCGACGACTTGTACGATGTGCCGTTTCACTAGCTTTGGTGCCTGTTGATCAAGATGAGGGATGTTTGGGTCAAGGCTATTGCCAATGCTCCTCAAGGCGCTGCTATCACCAGATTTATGGACTACATCAAGAGAGACATGGGTGGATGGACCAACTCAGTGGAAGGAGCTGTGGACCCAGTTCCTGGATGATGGCCGTCGCACGAACAATAATCTAGAAGGTTGGCATCATCTTTTGAATAATATCAGTGGGAAATGTCATCCCAACATCTATGAGCATGTTCGTGTGTTGAGGAGAGCAGTCCTTTGTGGAGGCCCGCAGTGCTCAAGTGTGTGGCCACAGACGTGCACCAGCAAGGAAGCGCTGCTACCGCAATCTTGGCAGAAGGCTTCAGCATCTCAAGGACCAGCTTCAGAAACAAGAGATTACCATAATGAGCTATGCTGATCAGACTGGCTACCTTGCTCACTTGGGATGACTATGATTTGTACACTGTATATTGTAACAAAGTGGCCACAATAAAGAATGTACTGTATAATGTATTTTGTGTTCCTTAATGCCCGGAGCGTCGAACGCCATAGTGTTAACGCCTAATTAACTCCTTACGTAATACGCAAAACATCGAATTTATAAAATTTCAATTTCCGACAGTCCGGGTGGACAGCGTTTGTAATGTCCGTGAGTCGACATGTTATCACAATTACCCAGCTGCACTTCGGACAGGCTCACATTCGTCCCGATACCAGTTACCTCCCTTCGTGTCAATCGCTATGCCTGGCAAACAGTCTTCCCTAAAGTTTGATAGTTCATTATTGACTGGAGTAAGACCGACGTCACCACTTTTAATCATTCGTGACCAACTCAATATTTTTCCGGGACAAGCCGAATAGCAACTTGTGCCCCTCTGGAAGGATTTCATATTGGCGCATGAACGATAACTCTTACTGTTTGATTCTAATGCTACTTAATATCCCCGAAGCACTCATATATTGTATTGCTGTTTGTTTTTATTTATTTTAAAGAATGGTATATCTACACCCATTCACGCCAACACTTGCCCTCTTATATGTGGTTGCACACATGCGCACACAAAACCTCGTGTCTTGTGTCTGTTATATTCAACAACTAAATTAAAGGTATTTTGGATAAATAGAGAATCTCACCCAAGTGTCTTCTGATATCAATTATATCAACACGAGTTGATAAAGTTACAAATATCTTAACTTTATATTTTAACTTTTATCAACGAGTGTTGATATATTTGATATCAGAAGACACGAGGGTGAGATTCTATCATCCAAAATCACTCTTCATTAGTTTTCAATGAAAAATGTACATCTCTGAACACAGTACTGCCATTAGGCTTGCAGTGAAGCGATGTCATAGCATTAATGACGTTATCAAGTCATAGCATTGTCAGGGCATTATACAAAATCTACTGTCAAAGCGATATCTCCTAGGAGATATCGTTTGATCTCACACAAGCAATATCTCCCGTGGAACAGTTTTGGATGATAAAATATTAACTTTCTCTTTTCAGATCAATTACTCCACTTCCGAGCGGGAACACTACCAGCAGTAATACAAGTATCTCTGTGGTAAGGCCAAGCATTCTTTTGATTATACGTGGCAAAACAACGTGTCTGATAGGGTTGATGCCGTGGTTAGGGAATGGAGGCTGGGGTAGGTGTGGGTATACCGTCTTGAGGGCATGTGGGGTGGGGTGGGGTGGGGAAGACGTCGTGAGGGGCAAGTGGGTTGGGGTGGGTGTAGGTATAGCGTCGTGAGGGCATGTGGGGTGGGGTGGGGTGGGGAAGACGTCGTAAGGGCATGTGGAGTGGGGTGGGATGGGTGTAGGTATAGTGTCGTGAGGGCAAGTGGGATGGGGTGGGGAAGACGTCGTGAGGAGGGCATGGAGGCTTGGCCGGGTGTAGATATGGCGTCTCCACGTGCCCTGACAAACGTTCAACAAAGGATTGCAGTTTATAACAGTGCCCCGTGATAGGTATGGCGCGAGGTAACGATCAGTCACATGATCTAGATCAGCATCAACAGGCAGATATGTCAAATCATCATTATAAATTATGTCTGTATACGACCCATCACCAGTACATGCATTAAAGTCCTTTGTACTGTAACTGGGGCGGTGGGGGTAGCCTATTGGTTGAAACGTTCGCTCGTCATGAGTACAATGTATGAAGCCCACTTCTGGTGCCCCGCCGTGATGTTGCTGGAATATTGCTAACAGCGGTGTAAAACCATGCTCGCTCACTCACTGAACTGTAACTCGACAAGTTGGGTTCGTCGATTTAAAATTTGTTATATCCTCTTCCCAAATTTCTTAAACAGGTACCACATGTGTCTAAAACAGGTACCACATGTGTCTTCTAAAACAGGTACCACATGTGTCTACTAAAACAGGTACCACATGTGTCTACTAAAACAGGTACCACATGTGTCTACTAAAACAGGTACCACATGTGTCTACTAAAACAGGTACCACATGTGTCTACTAAAACAGCCACATACTAAAACAGGTACCACATGTGTCTACTAAAACAGCTACCACTGTGTGCACAGCACATGTGTCTACTAAAACAGCTACCACATGTGTCTACTAAAACAGCTACCACATGTGTCTACTAAAGGCTTGGCTGCCACGTAGTGTCTACTAAAACAGAACTACCACATGTGTCTACTAAAACAGGTACCACATGTGTCTACTAAAACGACAGGTACCACATGTGTCTACTAAAACAGCTACCACATGTGTCTACTAAAACAGCTACCACATGTGTCTACTAAAACAGGTACCACATGTGTCTACTAAAACAGGTACCACATGTGTCTACTAAAACAGCTACCACATGTGTCTACTAAAACAGGTACCACATGTGTCTACTAAAATTCACTTTCTACTGTATTTGTTCAGGTGGCTGTATTTGCAGCTACAGATCATCACTACTTTAGTACTGTCACAAACTGACATAGCATCCACGTGACAATTGTACCAGCAGCGTTTGATTGCATTTCCATGTTTGTCACGTCTTGTGCAACGCTGTATATCTGGAGAAGGGAACAGTATTTTGAAAATGTTTCAAAAAGGAGATTATATGGAAAACCTAATGTCTTATATATCCAACTGTCTAATTTTGTCTCTAGACCTTGTATATTCCACAGTACCGTTTTCCAAGTCTCGTCACACACTATATCGGGTCCTTGACCACACCCTCATCTGTGCGGTCCGAGTTCAGACGCCGTTCTGCTTCATTAAAGTGTAAGACCCGTGAAGATCCGGGTTAGAATGGGCAACCAGTTGATGCTTACCGTAAGAGGCGACTAACGGGATCGGGTGGTCAGACTTGCTGACTTGGTTGGCACATGTCATCGTATCCCAATTGCGTCGATCGATGCTCATGCCATTGATCACCGGGCTGTCTGGTTCAGACTCGATTATTTAGACCACCTGGAATAGTGGAATATTGCTGAGTTCGGCGTTAAACAACCAACCAATCATTAGGTCGACAAACGTTTGTTGTCAGTTTGAGGTTTCAGTCCTGAGGGTATAAATGTACCTTCCTTTCTAGAATCTACCAGGTATATTTTAAGTTTTCTCGTATAGCTCGTATGTTAGAGAAATCGTGAGTTAGACATTGCGATCTTAGAGATTTGGCTGACTGTAAGAAAGATATTTTTGTTAAAATTTCTTTCCTGTATACACTACATCTTTCTGAAACTGTACGTTTGGCTGAAACATTGACCTTCTGATTACAGTTCACTACTCCTCCTCCTCCTCTCTCGACTTGAATACCACCAGCAGCAATGGGAATATCAGCAGCAGCAATGGGAATATCAGCAGCAGCAATGGGAATACCAGCAGCAGCAATGGGAATACCAGCAGCAGCAATGGGAATATCAGCAGGGTAAGGAATATGACCATGTGTGTCAACGTTATACGCTCGTTGTGAGCTGATATAGTTTTGAAAGTTGGGTTTATTGACAGAGCCCAAAAAAGATCAGCCAGCCAGGTCCCTTGAACATGGATGCGTTCGACAACAGCCAACGCAAGGGTATACAGCCTGTTGCCGTGAAAGTGAGGTGTAAATTCACAAGCATTCCTCCAGAGAGCTTTAACTTGTACACTGGCATAAACAAAGTCTACGTCAAATGAATTACAGCTATTGGTCCAGGATTGTACATCATCGTATTCACTCCAGAATCCTATTTTAGCTTTCCCAGTTTTCAATCCCCGGCGATAGGGCAACTAGGAGATCTTCAATAATCGAGTCAGAATTTTATGTCAATCCGTTGTCGTTCGACTTTGCACATTGTCTGTATTGTGCAGCTCCACCCTGAAGTACTGTACGGCCTTGTGGTGGTAAAACAGTAGTAAAGCCCAGCGCCACTCATGACTCGTCATCAATAGCTTGTGTGACCACCCTTGGCATCATGCACGCTAACACATCTGCTCATTCACGTCGTTCGTCACGCCGAAAAACCCGGGTTCGATTCCCCACATGGGCACACTGTGTGAAGCCCAATTCTGAATCGAAACACGCGAACTCCGCCATCGTTTCTGAACAGACTGAACCGACTGCCATCTGTAAATAGCACTCTCCCAGACACGTCGCTGCCACCGACGTACAGTTCGTGCCCATTGCAGTCTTCGTTGACGGTGTAGACGTGCCAAGGCCATTCCACGGAAGGGGCGGTAGGCTCGTGTACCAGCCATACCAAGTCGTTGAAGGCCTGTTCATCTGCTGATGGCGTGTCCGAGTGCTGTCGCCGTCACGAATCTGTTCCGGAGGTGGATCTGCCGGATGTAGCGGTGTTCAGCCTGTGTCGTGACTCTTGGTCTTCCCGATCTTGGGCGGTCTTGGGTCTGGCCTGTTTGCTGGTAGCGGTTTATCAATTTGATGATGGTGGCCAGGCTGCAGTTGAAGGTGCCCCCATAATGGCCATACCGATCGCCCCGTCTCGTTGCGCTTGCGTACGTATTGGCATATCCGTGGTGGTTGTTTGGTCCATTTGGACCAATGTCCCACAATTACGTTCTTCACGATTTGAAAAATGCGAAAAGGCTTTGTGAAAGCTGCGTTGTTATAGGAACCATGTTGCGTTTTGGCGAATGTTTACTGCTTGGGTTCAAACCTGTACCAGCGGTTTTGTTTTAAAAGTGTTAACTGTGTTTTGCCCGGTGTATGTTTTGTTAACTTTCTGTTACTCTCGGTGTAAGAGGGATCTTAATCCAGTTGTCCACATGCTACAGAGGCACCTTAGTCCCCTTTAGTTGCTGGCGATCAAAAGTCCTATATACTACTCAAAATTTGATAAGGATCACATTTTCAAGTCAACATAAAATTATAATATGAAGTCAACTTGGATTAAAACCCGGTACGCAATGGGAAACCCCAGTGAAGACCACCACAAGCATGCTGGGACGGACACCATATGCACGTGATGCATGGTAACCAGAGTATCCTCCATTCTCTTTTTTTTTGTCATTGCAACGCTGCACGCTGCAGCCTTGCATGTGCTTATTGCTACTGGAAGCAGAAATGCCCCCTTAACGGCAACGACGTCTGACAGAAGAATTAGCCAGATGCGTAGGGACACCACGACGTTACGTTGTCAACGTCCTTGGTGTGTGTCAAAGCGTGGTATGCTGAGCTTGGAATCGGTATCAAACTCATGGTTTAGCAAACCAGCTACATGCGGGTGGTCGAGCACATTCCTCCAGCCAGCGTGATGACTAGTAGCTCCTGATTTCAGCATGACGTCATCACTTTGTGACGGCAACAACGCTACGAAATTAACAGCGGAATGCCACTGAAGTGAACGTTTCCGATCAGACAATCCGTAATCGTATTCGAGAGGCTGGTCTTCGGTCAAGGAGATCATGCATTCGCATCCTCTTACCCGGCGTCACGGGCAAACACGTTTGGAGTGGGCGAGAGATGATTGGACAGTCAATGATTGGGCATCCGTACACTTCACAGACGAGTACAGTACTGTGTGGACTTCACGGGTGTGGCGGAGGGCAGGAGAGTGATATCGTGTATAACGTAGCCGAGCATGACAGATGGGGAGCTGGCTCATTAATGGTTCGGGGAAGTATAAGCAGGGTTGGGAGTACTGATCTCCATATGAAAGTGAGGCACTATGACAAGCGTGCGTTACAGGGATGAGATCCTGGATGTGTACGAGAGACCGTTTGCTGGTGCAGGTGGTCCTGACTTCATCCTCGTGGATGATAATGCACGACCCCATCCTGCCATGGTGGTTGATGCTTACTTTGAGCAAGATGCAATCCTGCGTATGGAGTGGCCAGCTTGTTCACCGGACCTCAACCCGATAGAGCACATCAGGTTTCCATCCCATGTCGTCCTGTTTATCCAGGTTCTCACCAAGAACTCGGAATTGCCATGAGTGGCACTATATTCCCTTGGCGTCCACCCAAACCCTTATTGGAAGCACGAGACGATGGTGCCAGACTGTAATCGCATCTCATGGATCCCATAACCGCTATTGACAGTTGTCATGGCCAATGACTTGTTCCGTGATTTTGAGATTTGTTGGTTGCTGTCGTGATCACCAATCTTGTATATGACTCTCACCTTAGTGTCCATTACGCGTTAGTTTGGCCTCTTCATCAAAACAACCCGGGAAGGTCCGAGTTAGAATGTACCTTCAGTAATCCATGCTGTTGATCACTGGATTGTCTGGTCCAGACTCGATTATTTACAGACCGCCGCCATATAGCTGGAATATTGCCGAGTGCGGCGTAAAACTAAACTCTCACTCACTCTTCATCACTCTTCATGGCAACAGTTTCCTTTCAATGAAACATTTCTTTTCATGTTTTTGTCTATGGGTATTTGTCTTTGTCAGTTAGATGTTTACTGTCATTAAGAAACTATTATCCTTAGCAAAGTTTGAGTAGTATTTATTATGTTGTACCCTATTCTTAAGATATTCCGAACATATGATATCTGTAATGTTTCACTTTGTGAAAATATGACAATCGATAAAAGGTAGAACTGTGTACATAATCTTTTTCTTTGCAGGATGCAAGTGGAACTAGTCCCACCGACATCTACAAGACTATCTACGGGGTAGGTTGTGTGATGGATGTACTGGATGATTACTCCTACATAGATATGGAGGGTGGCGTGATGCTGACTCAGTTGTTTAACATCCTTGTCAACTGAAGTAATGAATGAACATTGTTTGTAGTTAGTGGGACTGCGGTGGCAATTGCTGATACGATTATCTAGGGACAAGTTGTGTGGTCGGTTTGTAATGTTCTAGTTGGCTCAAGGTGGTGCTATAACGGGGAACCATAACTGAACACGGGTGTTCATCAAATGAGCAGTTCTGAGTGAGGTATGCAATGGCCAAGAGCTATATAACGTGAACGATTGTTTATATCGGCAATATTTCCACAACTGTCCACAATACAATGCCGTGAACTCATTGATGGTCCTTTTGTCCTAACAGTCCACTGAATACGCCATTAGTGGAATTCTGAGAGGAGTCGGGCATGAATTGAGAGATTAGTGTTGGGGCTGGAGTGTGAAGATGTGTGGAATTTGAGTGTGGGGAGGGCGACTGTGGACTATTGCCTTGTTTTAAATTGAACAAACTCGTCTGTATGTTACCCATGCAGCAAACAGCGAGGGTCAGTTGTTAACTTGCGTTTTCACTCTTTCAGGCCAAAGTTCCAGACAAACGACAGACGACGCATAATCAAACAGTATATTGTGAAGCCTATGGGGCCGTGGTGTATAATGAAAAGTCCGTGTTCCAAACCACCTCTGTAACATATAGTCAGATTATCTGTGCTAACTCGACGGTACCCATGGTATTACTCAATAGTACAAGTGAAAACTTCTATCTTCTGACAGCATACTTCCCTTACAGTCATGCTCTCCTAAAACTTGAAGTTAATCCTTGCGTATTGGATGGCCCATACAACATAAGTGGAAGCAGTTTGCTAAAGTATAATTTAACAGTCTCAATGCTGTGGAGTGATGGGCGAGCAACTGGGGCCGATATTGTATGTTTGGTTACGCCGCCGACCACCACAACGCCAACCACGACCACCACAACGCCAACCACCACAACGCCAACCACGACCACCACAACGCCAACCACGACCACCACAACGCCAACCACGACCACCACAACGCCAACCACGACCACCACAACGCCAACCACGACGCCAACCACGACCACCACAACGCCTACCACGACCACAACAACGCCTACCACGACCACAACAACGCCAACAACGACCACAACAACGCCAACAACGACCACAACAACGCCAACAACGACCACAACAACGCCAACCACGACCACCACAACGCCAACGACCACTACAACGACCACCACAGCGCCAACCACGACCACCACAACGCCAACGACCACCAGCCACGACCACAGCCACCAACGCCAACCGACCACCACAGCGCCAACCACCACCACAACCACGACCACCACAACGCCAACCACGACCACCACAACGCCAACCACGACCACCACAACGCCAACCACGACCACCACAACGCCAACCACGACCACCACAACGCCAACCACGACCACCACAACGCCAACCACGACCACCACAACGCCAACCACGACCACCACAGCGCCAACCACGACCACCACAACGCCAACCACGACCACCACAACGCCAGCCACGACCACCACAGCGCCAGCCGACCACCACAACGCCAGCCACGACCACCACAACGCCAGCCACGACCACCACAACGCCAACCACGACCACCACAACGCCAACCACGACCACCACAACGCCAACCACGACCACCCACAACGCCAACCACGACCACCACAACGCCAGCGACCACCACCAGCAACGCCACCACGACCACCACCACAACGCCAGCCACGACCACCACAACGCCAGCCACGACCACCTACCACAACGCCAACCACGACCACCACAACGCCAGCCACGACCACCACAACGCCAACCACGACCACCACAACGCCAACCACGACCACCACAACGCCACCACCACGACCACCACAACGCCAACCACGACCACCACAACGCCAACCACGACCACCACAACGCCAACCACGACCACCACAACGCCAACCACGACCACCACAACGCCAACCACGACCACCACAGCGCCAGCCAACCACGACCACCACAGCGCCAGCCACGACCACCACAACGCCAACCACGACCACCACAGACGCCAACCACGACCACCACACAGCGCCAACCACGACCACCACAACGCCAACCACGACCACCACAACGCCAACCACGACCACCACAACGCCAACCACGACCACCACAACGCCAACCACGACCACCACAACGCCAACCACGACCACCACAACGCCAACCACGACCACCACAACGCCAACCACGACGACCACCACCACAACGCCAACCACGACCACCACCACAACGCCAACCACGACCACCACAACGCCAACCACGACCACCACAACGCCAACCACGACCACCACAGCGCCAGACCACGACCGCCACAACGCGAGCCACGACCACCAACAACGCCAACCACGACCACCACAGCGCCAGCCACGACCACCACAACGCCAGCCACGACCACCACAGCGCCAACCACGACCACCACAACGCCCACCACGACCACCACAGCGCCAGCCACCCACCACCACCACCACGCCCACCACAACCACCACACGACCACCACCAGCGCCAACCACGACCACCACAACGCCCACCACGACCACCACAGCGCCAACCACGACCACCACCCGCCAACCACGACCACCACCACAGCCAGCCACGACCACCACCACAGCGCCAGCCACGACCACCACAACGCCAACCACGACCACCACAACGCCAGCCACCACCACCACAACGCCAACCACGACCACCCACACCACAGCCCACCACCACCACAGCCACAACCCAACCACCACCACAACGCGCCGCCGCCGCCGCCGCCGCCGCCGCCGCCGCCGCCGCCGCCGCCGCCGCCGCCGCCGCCGCCGCCGCCGCCGCCGCCGCCGCCGCCGCCGCCGCCGCCGCCGCCGCCGCCGCCGCCGCCGCCGCCGCCGCCGCGCCGCCGCCGCCGCGCCGCCGCGCCGCCGCCGCCGCCGCGCCGCCGCCGCCGCCGCCGCCGCCGCCGCCGCCGCCGCCGCCGCCGCCGCCGCCGCCGCCGCCGCCGCCGCCGCCGCCGCCGCCGCCGCCGCCGCCGCCGCCGCGCGCCGCCGCCGCCGCCGCCGCGCCGCCGCCGCCGCCGCCGCCGCCGCCGCCGCTCTCACCAGGGTCAAAAAGCTACTTCAAGCATCACACTGGATGTAGTGAACGTCCTTGGACAGTCGATTGCCGGCCCGATACCTCTGGCCAGGAAGGTACAGCTGTTGGCGACAGCAAGTGGCGCGTCGTCGGAGCAGGGCTTACGGCCGGTGGCGTGCGATGCCGTCTCGGCTGACGGACACAGATACTCGGTGTTGCGAGCTGGATGCGGGGATGGGATCATTTTTGCTAAAAACCAAGGATTTACCACCAAGGGATTACAAGCATTCAGCCCCTACTTCAAGACATTTAAAATTCGCAAGGACAGTAGTCTTAAGTTTGAATGTAATTTCACTCTGTGTGATAGTGTCTGTGACGGAAATTCTTGCAACAGAAGGAGAAAGAGATCGGCTGATAGTTTCCTGGCGGAGGTGCCTTCCCCTATCATGGATCTTCAGCCCAGTAACACTCCGTCTCGGGAATGGTTAGTCTTGCACGTAGCCTGTATTGCTTGCTTTGTTATGGTGATGTCGCAAATAGTTATACTTGTTTTGCTGTTCTTTAGGCGACATAATGGGTGACCATTCTAAGGCAATAAATACTCTCTCGATTGAAATGTTCGTTATTATCTCAACTGAACTCCAGTCAGCAGAACTGAAGGTACCGCACCGCTGGTATTAAACATCTGTCTCACGAGAGAGTGGTTGGCATTCAACGAGATGACCAAACCAAGTCTCGGCGTCCAGCTTTCACAAGCACAGGACAATAGTCCTAGTTAACGTTTGTGGAAGCCACTGGCATGTTCATGCCTCACGATGCACTTGTTGTGCACATGGCCGATGACGCCGGGGGGATTCCAAACTCGAACTGGCCTCTGGCATAGCAAGAGACGACTCGATGGCCGGTGAATCGTAGATCACGATATCTATCAGATCATTCATTGTTTGGCCCACATTTACACATCACATGAGCACGCTGTTAAACGTACCCACGCACGTGACTGCCTGGTTCGCCATACTGAAAATGACCTTTGGTCCGCTTGTACCATCCTGACTGGGCACAAAAGTCTATCTACTGACACTACACGTTATGTCCCTGACTAAAGTCCCCCATTAAAATTAATGTTTTGCTTTGGCGGAGCCAAGGGTGGGTTCAGGGGGTTCGAACCCCCTCCTTTCAAAATTCCTGGATCCGCCTATGATGAAAGTAAAAAATTGTAAATGCACGAAATTCTAATGATGTAGCCCATAACAACAATCGGAACAAAGACGTTTTACAGAACTATACTCCCCACACAAAATTAAGCAACAAATATTTTCAGTGTAACATCTTTATCAATCTCGATAGCGATGTTTGCCGACATGTTATACTGAAAGGTAAATATTCAAAGAATACATAACCTTTAGTGACTGTCAAATTGATTTATCTGATAACATTGATTACATCACCCGAACACAACCACCCCCAGAAACAACATGCAAAATGTGTGGCATGAATGTGCTCCACTCTTCACACATGCACCCCGATCAGTGTAAACCTACCTGTGATCATTCCTCTTGTACAGTAAGGGGGTCCAACTTCATTTTTATGCATGACAATGCCCGTCCATTGATGACAATGCCCGAGAAAGAGTTAATGATGTTGTTTAGATCAACATCACACGTGGACTGGCCTGCAAGGTCACCTGATCTTAATCCCATTGAACATACTTGGGGCATTATTGGAAGTCGTGTTTACGGTCTCCATGTTCACCCCCAGACTCTGGTTGAGCAGGCGTTACAGTGAGAATGGCAGAACATTCCACAACAACTTTAAAGGCTCCTTTGGTCAATGCAAAGACGTGTAGAAGCTTGGATTTGTGATCATTATGGCCATACGCGTTACTGAACATTGCTTCACTGTCCAAAACTGACTTGAACCTTAATGTTAACATTTTGCTCCATGCATGCAGCACATTTTGCCCGACTGTTTCACGGGTACATTCTTTTGGTGCTTTGTAAGTCTATTATTGCTCAATACCATTTCATTTCATTTTGTTGTAGTCCTTTTGGCTCAAAATCGGACCGATGAATTGCAATCTAACTTGAAAACTACTGAACACATAGTACTCGATGAAACACTGATCATAATCAAAACAGCAGACCAATTCTGTGATTTTATTTCAGAATTTGTCTTAAAAATGGAGAAGTTGTCAAGCAAACTATCATTAAAATATTTACACAGTTCACTATTTGTTCCGCGGGAGTGGGGCAAAGAGAGGAACAGTGCATATCATTTATGATATAATCAAAATCATTACCTGTCCGTGCATTAAAATCACCAGATAATATAAACTTACTCTTCTCAAAAATCACTATCTGAAGCAGTTTTCCTTCAAAAGATTGTATTCCAGTTTCCTTCAGACGTTCGAATAATATAATCCTTCAGACTGGATGTATATACAACCAAGGAACAGCTTGTACATTTGGTGAGGTATATTCACCTGAAACAAAACCGTTATCCCACTGCTCTTACACTCTAGTAAACAAACGACTATATCCATTGCAGATGTAGTAAAAATCAAAGATTGTGAGAAATTCTGGGATACTATTACACGCTTCCCGAGGTGGTGAAGGTGGTAGTAGTATACAACCGGAAGTTTGATTGTTTCAGGAAACTGTTGAATCCAGAAGAGAAAGATACTGATATCACGGAATGTGATCCCGTTGTGCACGACTTTGTAAACAATCCTACATGTGAATTCTGCAATGAAATATTTTTTAACAGACTTAGTCGGATGGAATTACAGTCACTGAAGTTATGGATTCTATTAAATGTCTAAAGAATGGAAAAGCCCCTGGTGAGGGCGGTATTCCATCGGAATTCCTGAAAGTTGACTTACAGCTGATTGTATCTTATTTCCTGCCATTATTCAACAAAGTACTGGACACTGGAAACTACCCGGAACCATGGGTGATTGGGATGATTCTACCTCGACATAAATGTGGAAGCAAGGCGGAGCCGAATAATTATCGTGGGATTTCCCTCCTGAATGTACAATTCTGGAAAATAGATTATGAACGTGGATTGAGTTAAATGATCTTGTATCTGAGTCCCAAGCAGGATTCCGAGAAAGATAATCAACCATAGACAACATTTTCGTTCTTCAAGCACTATGTCCCTTATTGTTCATATTTTTCATCAACGAACTTGTGCGTGATATGTATTCTACTTGTGAACATGGAATGTTTGTTTCCTCGTTTAATAAAGATATTATGCTACTATTGTTTGCTGACGACATTGTTACATTCTCGTATATTGTTGTTGGACTACAGAGACAGCTTAACTGTATAACGGAGTATTGTCCTAAATGGGAACTGGTGATTAACATGGACAAAACTAACATTATCGTATTTAGGAAAGGTAGAATAGTTGCAAAGAATGAACCATGGACAGTATGTTGGAAATCTATAAAGATTGTAACCTATTACAAATATCTTGGTTTGCTATTCTCCTGCGTATTAAAATGGTCGAAAGCTTGCCAAACACTGGTGTCGCAGGCGGGAAAAGCTGTCTTACCTTTATATCAGCTATTTAAAGGCTTACCATTCTACACGGCGTGCAAATTGTTTGACACCAAGATATCTCCAAAACTGCTGTACTCATCTGAGATATGGGGTTCTGCTTACAAGGAATCTATCGAGAAATTCCATGCGTCTTACTTCAAGAGATTTTTAGGAGTTGGGAAGTTTTCGGCAAATAAAGCGATTCCTGGAGAATCTGGGCGCTACACCATGCATATTTGTGGCCAATGTGAAGTAATTAAATATTGGCTTCGTCTTCTAAGACAAGACACACGGAGATATCCATACAATTGTTATTTAATATTGAAACAATTGGACGAGGATGGAAGACACACCTGGGCGTCTAATGTACGAAGTTTATTGTTTGTGACTGTATATTCCTATGTTTGGCTGGCTCAAGATGTTGGTGCTCCGAAACAGTTTCTTTACATTTTCAAGCAGCGCCTAATTGATATATATACTAGCTACATAAAGAGACTGTGCACACAGAAAATGCCTTCAGAATTAGAATACAAAACAGAAAAGACGAAATGATGGAGACACTTTATAAGCTGAAGTATCGGACCACAACAACATGTCAAAAGAACATGAACAAAATCCGTAACGATGACGTTAGAAGTTCAAAATCGAGTGGGTGGTCACATGACGAAGTCACAAAGTCAATAACGGGTATGACGACCATGTGCGTGAAGCACAGGAGTGCATCGAAGACGCACAGAGGCTACCAAATGAGCAGTGAAGGCCTGGGGAATGGTTTGGGACGAGGTCACTGCCGTGTGGAACCTGTGTCTGAGATGAGTTACCCGAATCCATCTGTCCTGTCTTGGCGTCGTTACGTCGGGGACGCCCACAACGTGGATGGTCGGTGAGGTCATTATTGTTTCGATAACGCCTGATCAAAGCAGATATCGTGTTACGATGGCATTGGAAATGTGTTGCCACCTGTTGTTGGCTCATTCTTGCTCGAACCATTCCAATAGCTTCTTGACGTTGAGCAGATGTTAATCTTGGCATGATGTGCATGTGACTTCTCATGTGAGTTTGTGAACGTTTGAATGACCAAAGATCAAGCTTTCGACAGTGACTTGTATTTATGTATAAAGACGCTGTGTGCCTATATTTATATTTTCTGTGTGTACAGTTTCTTTATGTGGCCAGTATACTTACAAGACTGGCATTATTCAATCAATAATTCATCTTTTCTAGAGCACTATAAACAAATGAAGTTATCCCTTCTACAACTGAAAATATATATAACATCGCTAAAGGAAAGAGACCTGAGAAGAGCTTTCTGTAAAATGAGAATATCACTCCACGATTTTGCTATAAACAGGAAAAGATGTGAGAATGGTGTAAGTCACTTAGATACAATTTGTCCTCATTGTTATTGTGGTAGGGAAGATGAGCTTCATGTTTTACTTGTTTGTAGTAAATATTAATCTCTAAGGACTAGATTTTGGCCAAACAATTCTGACATTGCTACTCAAAGTATGATAAATTTGTTAAATAGTACAAATATGAACATTATTAAATCTGTTGCATTATATCTAAAAAATGTATTTAATACCAGGTCCCACACGTGACCAATTTGTATTCTGTCGTGTTCTTGTACAATAGGCCATGTGGCCAAAGTACTGAATAAACTACTTGAACTTGATATCAGGTGTTCATGTACCACTATCAAATAGTAATACCAGGTGTTCGTGTACCACTATCAAATAGTGATCATATCCAGTCTAATTAAACTTCGTTACACTGCTATACTGAGTCTAACAAACCCTAGTAGAAGGTCGCGTCAGCTAACCTTTTTGGACTGACCAATCAGAACACAGCTTACCAAATCGCGAAAGTTAACATTCGCACATACCGTTTGAACCTTTACCTCAAAACTCGAACGATTCCGAATGCTAATTTCCGCACGATCGCTTCCCATTCGTCACCACTCGCCCCTTTCCGTAACCTCGGTATTCGGCTTTTCACGGAATAACACGAGTGGGTCACGAATGGATCGCTTCCGAGTGACACACACGAGGGGCGCAATGAGTAAACAGTC